TCACCTCTCCCCGCTCCATATAGTCCTTCTGGCTGCCCATCATTTTAGTCCCAAATTGAAATTTATCCTAAGAGACATGAGTCAGAACACCACCTGGCGCTTTCTTCTGGCGCTCCCATGGCCTCCAAGAGTGAGGGAGAGCCTGAACTCTGGTCCTCCTTTTTTTTTTTTTTTTTTTTTCTCGAGGCCTTGGCTCACATAGAGAGAGGGAAGCAGAGAAAAGGCTGGAGAGGGCTTGAATGTGGTAGTGGGAGCGGAGGCAGGAATGTGTCCTCTTTATTTGTGTCCGTTTGTGGGGCATGATGGATGAGGTGGGTAGATGTGATGACCTGGCTCATCGCTCAAACACTCAATAAGAGTCCCATCCTGCAGCAGGCCTCCCCATCCGGCACCCCCCTCTGTCACTGCTGCCAGCCAACGTGGGCGGACATTGTGGCTGCGAGGGTTGGAGGTTTAGCAGCTCCATTGTCCGGCGAGTAGCTCGAGTGGGGGGTTGGAGAATTGGGCATGACAGTGAAGATGGCTGGCGCTGACACTCCACATTTACAGTGCTCTTGGCACCCTAATGGATGGGTTGTTTTCTTAAGGCCTGTCGTCAGCCCTCGGGGCTCTGTGGGGCGTCCAGCTTTGATGAGGTCACAGAGGGTCAGGCAGTGTTGATGAGGTCAGCATGGGTCGTCCAGCTTTGATGAGGTCAGCTGCAGCGATGGTCGTGATGGTGTAGGCCGGGACCAGAATGAAGTGGCAGCAATATTGTTCCTGAGTATGGGTTTTGCCACCTGTACTCTTGTGGACTAATTCAAGCTGATATGATTATGGGACTTTGTCAGCAGTAAAGCAGCTGCACCCCTTTTCTGTAAGATTTGTATCTGCTAGTTCAGAGACCTGAGAGGACTCATTTTTGGACCACACTGACATTACATGACCTGTTAAGTTGATAGGTTGAATCTAACATTAGCGTACACACTCCTAGTTAGAAATTCAAGTGGTATAAGACAACATTAACCTTTATTTGGTTTGTGCCGGGCTTTGGACAAATTGAAACCAGTCTCCTTAACAGCTTTGTTCTCCTCTAATTCCTGATGAAAATGTATGGCTCTTTAGCAGCTAAATGCGACACCATCTCCCATCAATCGGTGGATTTTTTAAATTTATTTATTTTGTAGCTTTTTCTCTGACAACAGCTACGTGCTGCCGCCAAAACCAACTCTGTAGGATCAGTGAGAGTGAAACGAAATAGTAAAGCTTTAGGCCGCAAAACCAAAACAATGACCTGAAAGACACTATAAAACTCTGTGGGGCTGAAGGGAACTGCAGAGTTGGATTTAAATTCTCAGCGGTTTTTTAACGACAGCCCACTTCTTTTACGCTGCACATGGTCATTTGATCCTTTGTTTTTTATTTATATATGTGTGTGTTGACTGAAGCTGCTTTAACAACTATGTCCTTTTCTTATTTTATGGTCGTCACTTGTGTGACTGAAAAAACATGAAGAAAGCAGTGAAGAAACTGTGATTTAACATTAATATAGACTAAGACGTTCTGTTGTAAATAACAACAAGTACAGAGAGAATTCCAATCACTTACATTAGTACAGGTTTTTTTTTTATTTTTTATCATCCAAATATAGACAACACATTTTTTGCAGATGCAACTGAGGCAGCTGTTAAATTAGGTTTTAACCAACAGGAATTATACCTTGACTACGTCTGGAAACTAACTTTTCTGCAGCATTTTGCTCCCACTGCAATTCAAATTGCCCGTGTAATTACATCACCTATACATAAAAAAGGCCTCCTGTTTGACAAAAGTCTAAAGGCTCTGTCTCTTGAAAGAACACCAAAATATTATGAATAGACAGCAGAGTATGTAAAGTCATTGTGCCTGGGCAGCGAAGTGGTGCAAGGGTGAGTTTGGCAGCTCGTGTGTGTGCGCTGGTTTGATCAGTGTTGATTAGCACATGCCAATGTCACCCATGTATCCTCTCACACTTAATCAACACGTTCGGACGAGTTGCTGCCGTCATTAACCCGCAGCCTTTCATAAAGGGCTCAGTGTGTATCCAAGTGTGGCTGGCATGGCTGTGGACGTGTGTGTAAGTGTGTGTTTAAAGAGCCGAGGAAGTCGGACAGAAGAGCGCATATTAGTTAATGCAATCTGCTTTAGTTAAATGTGAAACGTGTGTGTTTCAAAGGGAACCGGATCCCCGAACTGCCGCGTCCCTACGGTGTGTGTGTGTGTGTGCTGTGGTGTGGTGTGGTGTGGTGGTGGGCACTCTGTGGGCAGCGCTTCGTGGGGCTCGGAGCCACTCAGCTAATGGGGCAGCTGGCACAGCCTCAGAATCCATCAGGCCTCATTACAGCTCTTGTTCAGCCACCGTCCACTTTTTTTTTCTACCTCTTTCTTCTTCTTCTTCTTCTTCTTCTTCTTCTTCTTCCTCCTCCTCACTCCAACCCTTCCTTCCTTTCCTCTGCCACCCAGCCAACCCTGTGTGGCATGTAACTGCCACCGGGCCGCTCGCAGGAACATACATCACACCCCCAGAGCGGCAGAAACGAGGCCTTCACAGCTGGCAGCTCTCACGCTGATTGACTTGGCACCCTTGCTGACTCAGACACCAGGGGAAACATTTCGTGGGGTGGGGTGGGGTGCATCCTTCGAGTGGGCTGGTACAGTAGAGGGGTGCTCGCTAACAGCTGGCAGATTTCGTTTGGGTTTCTCCCACAAATCACCACATCAAGTTCAACCTCCTGTTTGCGTCCTCCAGGACAAACAAACCCTTCGCTTCTTCCTCTTCTTCTCTGCTTTATCTCCGAGTCTTTTCTGCAGCCCCCCCCCCCTGTCTACTCCCTCTTAGAAAGCAGTAGAGTTTAAGGCTGCGGTTTCATTACACTGTTTGTTTTTCTCCCTGGAGGCTACGGGTCATTAGTGTTATTGATGGACAGTCGCTACAGTCCCAGGGAACGGGGCAAGACAGAGCAGAGCAGACGTGCACATGGTTTTAATATGACGAGTCTAATCAGGATAGGCGTGGTGGCAGAACCACTCGGAGCCTGCTATTGAAATCATCTCTTTCTTTTGCTAGTGGAGTAGATTAGAAAATAACTCATCAGGCCTTCAGCTCAAGGTTTTTAAAGGAGTGGTGCAACGATGAAGCTTTGGGTACATTTGGCGCAACTTGTACATAAAATACATGCGTCAGTGCAACACAATTTGACTATCAAAATGAATTAAAGTATAGCATGAACCAATCAATCATGTGAACTCCTGCTCAGAGGTTTTTCTCTTTTCTGCGCTGAGCTCCACCCGGTGGTGGAAATAAAAATGTGCACCTACCTGCATATTTAAGTTTGAACACCAATTAAATAAAACAAACCTCAAATGCAGTTTCTGGTCAGGACAAAGATAACTTCTGCTAAATGATACATGCAGCTTTTCTCCAGGCATGCGGTCAGACAAGCTGACACGTCGAAACCAAAGATACGCTCCGTGCACCACACCGATTCAGAGTGTGGGAGAGTTTCTCGATACACATCTTTTTGCAGCCCTCACATTTTCACATTTATTTTTTCAGGCAACAACCAGACAAATGGTGCAGGACTTGTTGAAATGATTTCCCCTCTCGTTCTTTTATCTGGGCAGACGGCTTTGTCAGCTGGAGTTCAAAACACTGTGGCCTTCTGGGAGATCTGGTTCAACGCAGAGGGGGCAGAAATTATCTCTAAAACGTGTAGCCGTAGCAGTAAAGTGATAGAATCTCTTTTGCAAAAGAGTGGCGTATGCTTAATTACAGAGAAAAAGTACCCATGATGCGATCTCACCTTTTACGGGCTATTTCATCGCCAGTTTCCTGCACCCCTCTCTTTCTCTCTCTCTCACTCCTGATAAGCCAGCATGCATTCAACAGTATTTTTTTTCCCCTCTAGAAGTCTTTCAGCACAAAGACCATCTTTATTCATTCACTGCAATAAAACAAAAGTGGCTTTTTGAGGTCCTGACATCACTTCAAGTGAACCAAAATTATGTCTGAATCAGCTCCTTTTGGTGAAATCATTAAAAGGACCAACGGTGCAGCAGTGTGCTGAACATACACGAGGTCTGGCTTCTACTAACTATTGATCTTTGCGTTCAGATATATTTGGTCATGCCAGCCCCTCTTTTGTGGTACCTGGGGTTCTGTGTGCCGGACTGATACAGCGGTGCAGTGGCCACCCAGAGCTTGGTGGATGGATGGCCTCTCTGGGCCTGTTTGACTGGAAACAGGTGTGTGTCATCCGAAGATGAAGGCCCAGCCGATAAACATTATTGGAGAACATCTGCTGCTTGTCACAACACAGGGCGAGCCGGAGCGCTCCGCCATCCATCAGCCACACCGGAGAGTGGGTGCGGGTGG